GAGTTTTGAGCAGTGTAGAGTAGCGCTTGTTTGTCATTTCTTTGATCACAAATGCAGACAGGGTTTTATGTTTACGCGGCACGATGCAACGCAGTGCGTAAAAAAAAAAAACAGTATAAGTCATTATAATCAGTAATTATGTCCCCACTGGATGCAACAAATGCCTCGTTTATAATGGGTTTTCATGTTTTTGTCTCGTCGCTCCAGCCGGACACGGCATCGTCACAGTATGGTGAGGGGTGTAACATTTCCGTCACACGCTTGAGGTATTCGGCCAATCACAACGCACTGGACAGCTGGCCAATCAGAGCACACCTCGCTTTTCAGAAAGATGAGCTTTGTAAAAATCGATGCGTTTCAGAAAGGCGGGGCATAGAGGAGAAACAATAATGTACAGTATGTGGAAAATAATGTGTTTTTTGAACTTTAAACCACAAACACATTTCATTACACCAAATACACAAAATAATGTTCTTTTTAGCAACATCATATGACCCCTTTAAAACGTAAGACAGTACCCAGATTTGAAGACTACAGTAAGATTTAACTTCTACTGTTAATAAGATTTTGGTAGGCTACTATTAGACGGATAGCCTAAATGTCCCAATTCAGATGGGCTACCCGTTTTAAAAAATTTTTTTAATGGTATATCAAAAAGTGTATATTTTTTTTAAATGTGATTGTTGGTACATTTGACCAGTTTTTACCATACTTTCAAAACAAAAATTAAAATAGGGAAAATATGCAATACGAAAATAATTGAAGACAAAATGTGTTTTACTGAGAAAAAACAAGATTTGTTTTTCCAAAAGGTACATCTGGGAAAAGGGGGGTCGTCTTATATTCGGGCCCATACGGTTAGTCAAAAAGCTGTTGCTGTAAACCTATCAAATGTTTCTGTACCAAGCAAATGAAGAGTCCAAACCCTTACCGTCTTTTGCTGCGAGACTCATTAAGCTCCATCGACACCCGTTTCCGGCGGTTTGTCTTTTTCTGTGATGGAGTCTTTGGCATGAGTTCTGGCTCGGTGCTGAAGTCACTGTACAACAACACATCTTTTTTATGAACATGTCTAATAACTGAGGGATTCTCACACACACACACACACACAAAGTGACAGTATGAAGTGTATAACACACACCTCCACCTCACATTTACAGTGTCTCTCACCTGGAAAACATGCGATAAGCTTCCTGCTGGATCTCCTCCAGCCACACCATGTGGACCTGGTCAATTTCTTTGGTAAAATCCTGCAGCTTCCCATTAAAAACCTCCATGAGGGAGCGCGTGGCCTCCGGCAAGGAACTCATGTTGCCTCCCCTGGAAATACAGAAGGATAGGTCTTGATTTTGCAATACTGACTAATAAAGCAAGTGTAAAGAATAGCATTTTGAGTTTTTGCATGCAACTGATCACAAACTAACTTTACATTATGACTCCACTAGGCACTTCTGACAAGCTGTCATTCTGAAAACACATGTTTACTATTGTGCTTCAGGGAAAATGTTAAAACATGAATTTGCTTGACAGCAAAGAGCAAAAGGTCCAGACTCATTAATATTAATATATGTCTGTCAAATGTTACAACAAAGAAATTGAGCATTTAGACGGTGTTTCTCAAAACATTGGAAATATTTCATGATGCAGGTAGATTAACTTACTGCATACTAACCATATATGATGTTCAAATTAAGAAATGTAAACATTTAATCTAATGGTTTTTTATGAACTAAGTCTTTATTCCGATCTCAGTCCAAACACAGGACTTATTATCACATATAATAAACAAATATATTATATTCCGGTTGTTACATTTATGCCGTAAGAATATTAAAATTACACAAAATAGCATGCTAATAACTAAAACGTGAATTTATGTCTGACTGCATTAAGAATTCATAGCTAACTTAAACAGCGAAATAATACATTTTAAAACGGCATCTACCTCTTTAGACTGTATGCACGACCGCACTGCAAAAACAAAGACTTGATGATCCGAAGTTATGAACCTTGCTTCTATTTTGTTCATAAACATTAAAAGCTATTTTCTGCCTTCGGCTCCACTGTCTCTTGTTTTTCTGCCACCCGCTCAAAACGGTTTAAATAGTTTAAAATTCTGCTCCGACGAATAATACACTACGAACCGCCCGATTCTGGGTGGGATCAAAGAATCCGTGTGTGCGATTGAACAATACGGCTGTCTGTCACGACAGATTCGGCCAATCACAATCAAGAACGTTTAGGCAAGGACGAGCTGTGCTCCCATTGGATGATACGCATGTCTGTCAGATTCAAACCGTCCAATGCAGGAAGAGTGCGGTGAAGTCCCCGCCTCCGTCGTGACGTCAGCGTGTTCGACATTCCGCGTGAAAACAGAGCGAAACATAACGAGTTCCGTGATTTGATAAGAGTCTCGTTTATTTTATTAAACGTAAAACCAGATCAGCTTGACAGTTCTTAAAATGTCCCAGACGTTTTGCGTATAGTACAACATTTTAGAATTTTAATTATTAGGATTAAACACAACCGTCACACTGTTACCATGGTAACAGAAGCAGCTAGCTTGCTAGCGTCGTAAACGGCTCGTCGTTTGAGCACTCGACAGCTAGCATAATTTATAATCTTTAAAATATAAACCATAGACGCCCCACACTGAAACGACAATGTAGGTGAGTTTGGTTGACTACCAGATTAACACGATTAGATCTGATCACTCTTGAGATGATACGCTTTTCTAAACAGGTATCACTTTTTTATTTAAACAACTGTGTTCGTATATGTTACGTTTATCGCATTTGATTATAATATAATACTTTGTATAGTTAGCTGGTTTATAGCTTATTCAATATGAAACCAATGCTTTACCATGGTGTTATTGGAGTGCCTTGAAAGCACCGTGCTGTATGAGTAAAATACTATGATATTACCCTCTGATACTACCACTGTACCATAGTATCACCACACTACCCTTTGAAAGAAAAATGTGTGATTTATGATCAAACAGAAGTGTCATATGGACAGCATACCAACGACAGACCGACCTGTGCTTCTGTCATTATTGAATAACTCTAATCCTCTTTGCAGGATTTATTTTTAGAGGATGGACGAGACATGCAAGGTGATCAGAACCTGAAGCTCAGGTGAAGGACAATCTGCTGATGGAGATGTGCCTTCACAGAGCATGAAGAAAATATTCAACTTCAAGAAGAAGAAGGGCTCCCCCAGCCCCTCCGAGACGGGGAGCGTGCTGTCGGCCAGCTATGATGTGAAGGAGAAAGACCTCGGGAAGGTCCACAAGGCTGCGTTCAGCGGAGATGTGGTCAAACTCAGACAGCTGGCCAAAAAGAATGATTTAAACCAGCTGGATAAGGAAAACAGGTAACTGTTGATGAACTTGTTTGTAGTGGACAAAGCAAAATGAAAATACGGAATCTTACCACCGACAGCGATTTTCAGCAACTTGCCAGATTGAACCTTGTCAGATCTTAACCTTAGACTTAAGATAGAAAGTTTCTGTAATGCGGCCCATCAGGCTTCTCCTTCAGGGCTCAGCAATGGGAATTTGGTCAGTAGTTGTATTGCCTTGCTTACATTTTCATTTTCCCAACTGCAAAAGAATGACCTATATTTATTTTTTAGCAAATACATTTTTATATTTGCTAGAAATATTTGTATTTTTCATGAAATTTAACTTTAACTTTTTCATTATTATTATTATTATTATATTAAAGGCACAATATGTAAGATTTTTTTATAAAAATATCCAAAAAACAATAGAACAGTGTTATATATTTTGCTGACTTGTGTTACAGTATCCCAAATGTTTCGAAGAATGCTTAAATCCAGAGAAATAAGCAATTTTTTTATCTAATGACACGAACCGTGTCTATAGTGTCATTGTGTCGCCTGCCGATGACGTCATAACCCTTCGATTTCCGGAAACACCAAAGACGCTTAAATATGTTGTGTGTTTTAATAGACCGGTGACGACCGCACAGAGTAGCATTATAACATAACTTTCAAATGTATCTAGTATGATAAAACAGCGCTGCTTTACCCCACATACACACGACCGGAAGCAGCGGAAGCG